CTCTCTCTCTCTCTCTCTCTCTCTCTCTCTCTCTCACACACACACACACACAAACAGACACACAAATACTAAAAAAGCATAAGTAAGGAAAGAGATTTATCATTGAAACACCTGGTGTAACCATGCCAACATTAGACAACATTAGACAAAGTGGGCTCCAGAATAATCCGTACTTCAGGGATGAACATTTGTGAGGACGGTGATGTGATAAAAGGGTCAGTTCTTCAGGGAGACAATGATTATACTTATGTAAAGACCTAATGATGGAGCTTCAAACCCCTTGAAGCAAGAAGATGTAGTTGAAACATAAAAATGAACAAAACAGTAACTTTTTAAATGTATTCTGATGCCTACTTTTCATTAAGACTTAATGAACTCAGATAGCGTTGTGAAGTATAAGTTAAATCCCCAAAGAAAATTTATGAAGTATTTAAAGTGAAAAAATACAGCATCTATCAATTTATTGATACAGCACTGACTGCATTAAAGAAGAACAAATTAAATTTACTATAAATAGAAGAAAGATAATTATTAATAAGAGGGCAGAAATCAATGAATTTTAGAGGGGAAAAAAACACTGAAAGTGACCATGGTATTTAAAATCAAAGAACTTGATAAAGGCCTCCAGAAATTGTCCACAACAAAAATGAAAAAGGCACACATGATCAATATCATAAATAATAGAGGGCATGTGCTTATAAGTTAGCTCTATGTGGAAAATATTGTGATGAATACTATCAATTAACTTCTGCCCACTTAAATAAATGGACATATTTTCTGAATGATGAAATTACCAAGGTTGCTCAAGTATTGATAGTCTGAGCAGTCCAAAGAGTTGACTGAATCAGTAAAATCTGATTCCAAAATTCTTTCCAAAAGAAAACTACAGCCCCACACAGTTTTACTGGTTAATTGGGTTAAACATCTTGGAAAAATAGCACCAGCTCTACTCAGATAATGCAGAAAATCAGAGTTGGGAATATATTCCAACTCCCTGAATGTAGTCAAATTTACTGTAGCAACAAAACCGATAGCAATCATGTTACACGAAGATAAAATTGTGGGCAGATACTGCCCTTGAGACTAGATGCAGAGATCCTGAAGATGCATTAGCATGGTAATATAATATTTTATGAATACATTGGATTTATTCCAGAATGTAAGTTTAGGCTACCATTTGCCACTTATTTACTGTATTTACCAAGAAACAGTCTGTAGGACAGCCCTAACAATCTTCTCTATAGATGGGGTTGGAAAATTTGGCAGTTACATGTAACTTAACCAACAGGTAATCTTCAAACAGACCTGAATGACACCAACAGAATGATAAGGGGAACACATCGAAGACATGAAAGCTAAGCCAACTGTTGATCCAGAAAAATCTGTTGAGCTACAGGAAAAAAAGAAACATATTTAAAAGGGAGAAAAAAAAACAAACAATTCATTTAGAACTCTAAACAAGCAATGGAGAAATTTAAATTGCCAACCATCACTTAAGTATTTCCTAGGGTTTTAAGATACTAAAAGGGGCCTTTCCCAATACTGTCTTCCACACACTTGAAATCTAAGCATTTGGATTTAAGGACATCCAGTGTTTACCAGGTGTTCATGACTATTATGATTATATAATTATATTATGATTATAATTTTCTTTTAAATTTATCTCTTATCCCTTGTCAATAAAAGAAACTCTTTTTTTCTGGTTTTTGTTGTTGTTGTTTTTCCTTGGTACTAATAAATGTTCCCAGGTATATAATTGTTTGGTTAGGAACTAAATTGTATGTTTTTTAAAAAAAATTTTATCTTCCTCATATTTTAACTACTTCTTCTTAGGTTCTTTATATAGTGTTTGTGTTAGAATAAGATTTTTAAAGTATTTATGTTATTATGTATTCTGCTTTTGAACACAAACAGGTGTAGACCAATTGCATTTGTTTGCTAATGGCTTTTGGTGAATTTAATTTTGCTTTTGGAGTTTCTTTATTTCAAATTAGTAGTGGTGACATGCCTTCCTTTGCTGATGTCTTTTGCTATCTGCACAAGGCTTTGACCCTTGTTCACTTAGAGAAATTTTTAAGTACTTGTCAAATTTTTAATTCCTTCAGTTGACTCAACTTGTGTTGTTTTACTAAACAACATCAAAGAGGTAAAAATATTGATTATGACATGAAATATGAGAAAATTAATAAAATTTGCCTCTCACTTTCCATTTCCTATATATTTTACCTTTTTTATTTTTATTTATTTTTTTTTGTATAAGAAGGCATTTTTTAAATTTTTAAAATTTTCATGATGTAAATTTGTCCCATTTTTGTGCAGACCCAAATAAAACAGAATTCTGATAAATGATTGCCTTGTTTTCATTTTTAGGTTTTAAAAAGCCAATACTTGGAGACAAAGCAAAAACATATTCAACAAGGACCCATCAGAGTGTATTTTAAAACAACAACAACAACAACCTCGTGTGGAGACCCTTACATCTTACCTACACCCCAAGATCTCGCTCTCATTGTGCAAAGAGAAAGCGGTACATACGAGATTAACTGAGCAATATCATGATGCTTTCGTTTTAGCAGATCACTTCCCCTCCATTTAGAGAAGTTCTCCAGGGTGGTGTTGGGGTCTGGTGTTATCTTTATCTTATCTCCGTCAGTCCAAATTTCTATTCCAACTAATGCCACATGGGCATTAAGCTTTTTGTAAAGCTGTCCAGAAAGAATACAATGCGAAGCCATCAATTGTAGTAGTGAAATAATCTTTTAATATTTCCACCGCACTTTATTTTTCAAAAACAGTAATGTGTGTCATTGCCTTTATCACCTTGAGCGTTTTTGTACTTCTCCAGATAAAATGTTTGTTTTTGTTTTTTTTTTTTCTTGGACATTACATTTAAGTAACTTCTTGAGGGTTGTTTAGAGAGTGACTGAAATAATATGAGTAAGAAAGGTGTTACAGTTCCAGTGATGACAGGCCTATTTGTTTCTTGTCTTAATTAACTCCTTAAAATTATTTCCTACCAGAATTTGATTATCAGTATTTTCTTAAGCGGATTTTGGGAAACAAAAATCCTTCAAAATAAAGCTTGATTTATGGGCTAGCTATCTTGTTCCCCCAGGGAAAGGTGATCAAAGAGCAGGCAATGAGTGCAAGCCAGTGATGCCCCTGCTCCCCTAACTAGGGAACCCTCATGGAGACTGAGCTGCCCATCTGAGCAGGGCATCTAGGTCCTCTCTACGTGTGGCCTTTGGTTGATACATCAATTTCTGCATCTCCCTTCTGGGCCAAGCTTTTTTTGACTTTGTCGGTCTCCTTGTCAGGCTCCTGTCCCCACCAGGTCCTTCTATATCCCCCTTCTGCCAGAAGATTCCCTGTGCTCTGTCCAAAGTTTGGCTGTGAGTATCTATCTGCATCTGCTTCTATCCCCTGCTGGATGGAGTCTTTTAGAGGACATCTGTGGTAGACTCCCATCCTGTTCCCTCTGTTCTGTCTCTTCCAGTATCTATCCTGGAAGATTCCAATGTCTATCTGAATGAGAATTAAGCAGCTTCCCTAGGGTCCTCCTTGTTGTTTAGCTTCTTTAGATCTGTACATTTTAGTAGGTTTGTCCTACATTATATGGCTAATATATTCCCTGCATGTCTTTGGGTTACCTCACTCAGGATGATCTTTTCTAGTTCCATCCAATTGCCCAAGCTAGCATGCCCACAGAGAAACAGGATCCAGGCAGTCCTGATAGAACCTGATAGGCTAGGGTCAGACAGTAGGGGAGGAGGACTTCCCCTATCAGTGGACTAGGGGAGAGGTATAGGGGAGGAAGAGGGAGGGAGGGTAGGACAAGGAGGAGATGAAGGAAGAGGCTACAACCAGGATGCAAAGAGAATAAACTGTAATAATGATAAAAAATAATTTTAAAAAAAGAAAAAAAATTGACTCATTATCTTTTGGTTCTAAGAACACATGGTATTAATATCTAGTGAAATAGTAAAATTCATGGTCATTCCTCAGAGGCCTAGCAGCCTTAACCTCAAGAGACTTGCTTTCCTTCCCATCCTAGATTCATGTTCATCCACAGAAACACTCAAAGACAGCTCTTCACAAAGCATTTGAAGTTACATTTAATGAACTATATCTTACCATGTTGACATAATTGGTCATCTCAAACACTATCTTTCTTATTTCAGTAAGATTTTTATTGTACTTCTTAAACTACAAGACAATGAAAAGACAAAATTAGGATGATAGAAATTAACATAATCAAAAGATAAAAAGACAATTTAACTTATTTTATAGTGATTATAATTACTAGTTATTAATATTTCAAAAATAAAAGCAAATTGAGTCATTTTTTCATGTAAATTAACAAATTTTGGTAATAACATCATGTTTCTCCCCTTGAAATAGCAGGTCAGCATACCGCTCTTAGAAACGAAGCCATGAATGTTGGCACACCTATAATCTGAGTGGAAGGCCAACGTAAGAGGACCATGAGTAAGGACAGTATTGGCTGCATAGCAAAACTCTGTCTCGAGCAAAACCACGATAAAATAAAGTGAGTGATTATTCTAAGTATGTTTTAATTTAATTGTCATGGTTCCCTAATCACCACAAAGCATGATTTACTATCTTTAAATCTCTGCATAGTGGATGAGCCCAATCCAACAAGACCAGAGATTTTAGTTCTGAGATAATTAATTTCCAGATTGTTTTAATATCGAAATTATTTTTCTTTTCTGGCATTAAACACACAGAGATAACTTGTTTAGGAACTCAAAATTGGAAAATGTGTTCCTAGAAAAGATGATGTCTATCGCCAAGCTCTGCCATTCTCCAAAGAACCCATCCACTGGGATCTTGTCTGTATGATGCTCCCTCCAGAGACCAAATCCAACATTACAAATGAACTATCCAGGACGACATGACAAATGAGTTTAAAAAGAAACTAATTTGGATCTCTAAAGATAGTAAAAAAAAAAAGAGTAATATAGGGCCAAAAATATGATTTGTGTGTATTTGTCATTTGCTTATGTCTGAGAAGAAACGTCTGTCAGTTTCATTATACATATCAATTTTGTAAACTTAGAATAGTTTCTTCATATGCTTCATATTCTTGATAGTTCTAAATGGATCTAGACATCTCTATCTCATACAATAAGTTAATTTTGTGAGCTGCATTATCTGTTATAATTACCTCACCGTTATCCAGGACCAAATAATATTCTATGTATTTCTTAGGTTCTTGAACCATCCCATCATTCAACTTCTGAAATAGAAGGAAGAGCATGACTAAGACAGTATCTCTCACTGTTAATAGGTTGGATTGTATCTGAGAATCAAGACAGACAATATTACTATTTTAACTCTACCACAACATCCAGGTATGCATACAAACGAGGCTCAGAATGTTAGAAAATGAAGGAAAGTGATGGTCTTATATGATTCCATCATTAGAAACAAATATGTTGATAGACTCATCTGTTATCCAGTGAGGTGTATACTTACCTTCCATTATCCACACGAACAAAATATTTACTAACACTTTCTATGCCCTCACAGCACTCTGGAGACCAGGATAGATAAGTCTACATGGTCCACCAGCTTAGCAGATCACAAGAGACAAACATAAACACAAAAGCATCAAGTGTAATTAGTACTGTGGAGTGGATTCAGTGAGTGATTGGCTGGGTGGTCAGATAGTGATTTTCAATAGGCAGGTAGAAAAAAGGCTTTTTAGAGACTTCGACTATACATCATAGTCATAAAAACAGGAATCCAAGAAGTGAAAAACAATTGCAATATAATTCAGAAAAGAAAAAAAGTAAAACACCAACTTCTGTGGGGTTTTTTTTTGGGGGGGGGGTCATGGTGTTTCTTTTAAATTTATTTATTTTTTTATTAATTACAGTTTATTCACTTTGTATCCCTGCTATAGCTCCCTCCCCCATTTCCTCCCACCTAGATTCCTACCCCCCGTTTGTTTGTTTGTTTGTTTGTTTGTTTGTTTTACAAGCAAGAACTCATGTATCCCAGGCTGGCTTTGCATTCATCACATATGAGCCTCCTGACTCTGCTTTCCTAGTGCTGGGGATTACAAGCACACACTATTGCAAATGGCTTACAAAGTGCCTGGCATGGACACTAGGGTTTCACACACCCTAGAAAGAATTCTACTGAGCTACACACCAGCCCTACAGAGTTCCACTGAAAGAAAGAATGTGTAGGATAAGATGAGATTGCATGGGAAGAATTCCAAAGCAAAAAGCAGTGAACAGTTTAGCCAAGACTTTTAATGTCAAATGACCAACCAGGAAAGCATGGTTATTCCTACATGGTTCCCAAAGAATCAAGATGGAAGCCCAGAGGCTGGTGCCAACAGAACCAGAATGATATTGAAAGAAACATGTAGCCAGGACTAGTCCTCTTGGGTTCCTAGATAAACTTCAAATCCATGGCAAAGAGGACAACCTCAGAGTTTTCTTAGAACCAAGTCTGCCTGGTGCCTACAGATTCTGGGAACACTTGAAAGTGACAATCAAGCAATGAAAGTAAAACAACAGAAACATTTTAGTGCACACCACACAGCTGAAAACAGCTGGGGTTGTCTTTTCTTCTGTCATCAAAACAGGATTTCATACAAGAAAGAATATTCTATCTCCCTACAGGTAGATCCTGTGCTTCTGTTGCTTGTGTGCTTGTGTTACTCCATCCCTTGTACACTGGACATTTCTAAGGAGAAATTTCTTACAGTTACACCTCACAAGAAGAGTGTGCATTGTTGTGAGATTTAGAGAGTACTGTGACCTGCTGTCTCTTCCTAGCTGTCACATATTATAATTCAGGCTTCTTTTTAGCCCTTGCATATTGTTGATGATAATAGTTTAGGCACAGTTTCTCAGTAAATAAATTATTAATGTACAGCAATGTTTTACCATTAGTAAAATTATAAACTATTAGTTTCAGTAGTGGCTATAAAATGTGAAGCAAGCACACTGCCAAAATTAGAACCAAGGGCCGGAAAGGGAGCTGAGTAGACGAAAACCCTCCCTGTGAAAACGTGAATGCTGGATGCAGATGCCCAAATCCACTGTAAAAGATTGGTGGGTGTCATGGCCTGCCTCTAATCCAAATACAGAAAGGGCGGAGACAGTGAATTCCTACAACATGCTGGCTAGCCACGCCATCCAAAATGGCAAGTTCTAGGTTCATTGGGAAACTGTGCCTCAATAGATAAGGTGGGGATCATTTGAGGAAAGCATTAAACATCAATCTGGGGTCTCCACAAGCACAGATAGGTTCATCTGTACACAATATGCATGTACATACAACACACATACACATGAACAGAAGAAAAGCGAAAAAATCAGAACCCAAGTTAGAACACAAAACAAAAGTACAGGTAATAACAAAACTCTACGTACAATCAGTCTGGTGGCAGGTGGGACCACATTCCGATGCAGCCCTTGTAGCCACGACACATCATCCACTCCACAGCTGCTGTTCTCTTGAACTTCACTGGGGTCATCCTTGAGGAGGGCATGAGCCTGTTCATCCAGGTTCTCCGAGCTCAAAGGTTTGATAAAATACCTTTCATTGCCTTGACTGAAGTAGCCTCTGGGGAACATGAACATTAAAGCTCCTTAACAAAACGTATTGCTTTGGAGTTGCACAGAGTCCTCAAAGTCCTCACAACCTGTTTAATCATATTACAAGAAAATGATCCAGCTTATCTGCTTCTGACACTAGAAATGTTTTCTGAATCAGCCCCCTGTCTTCATCCTGGTCCTACATGGCATGGGCCTTGAAAGTTGGGGATGCTTTGGAGTCTAATAAGGAATTAAAATTCTAGCTGTGAACCCCCCAAAATCATTGAATTAAGTAGCCTCACTTTTCAGTCTGTAATATACAAAGATATAATGGCCGATAGAAGAATTCTACGGGGTGGAAAGAGAGCAGATGAAGTGTGTGCTCAGCAAAGATTTCCAACTCCTTCAAACCCTGGCACCAACATCTGAGCTCACTCATTGGCCATCCCGCTCTATTCTTCCCTCTTAATGGCTGGTTGCCCCCTAGACTGTTTTTAAGACTTACTAGCTTTTGTATAAATGATGAGCAAATCCAGCTGCATTTTCATTCCTTAATTAATCTAGAGTTCCAGTGGTTTAAAATCAGTTTGCATTATGTTTAATGAGACTCCTTCTAAATGAAGCACTGCATTAGAAGCAGAGGGTAAAGGAGATCTGTAGTCTCTTCCTTTATGAACTTTATATTCAAAACGAAGAAAATGGGTGTGTAGAAGCAAAAAAAATGTATATGCAATTGTTTAGCAAATTCATATGTATGCAATTCTATCTAATTAGTCTGAAGTGGGAATGCACGAGTATATAGAGCTTAAAACTGGAAGACAGCAAGTGTGGGTGTTTGTTTCAAATACTTCAACTACATAGCTGAGGTAGGATATTTCACAGTAGAGGCGGATGTAGTGAACAAACAGGAAATAATTAGAATATACAATCCCTGGGGCTTGTTAAGGACATGGAGGCTGGAGGGTGAGACAGGCAGTCTTCACAGACTTCATGATTACTAACTGGGTAAGTTATTACTTGATTATTCCATCAGTGAGGTCAAGAACACAGGAAAAATAATGGATTTATGAGACCATCAATTTGCTTGGTTTAGAACACACAGAGGTTTAGATTCTTTAAGGTATACAGCTACACGTGCAGAAAAGGCAATTCATCAGTTCTTGGTATTAATGAGCTAACATAGGATAGACAGACATATGGGGAGTCACTAACAGGCAGAAAGGTGCACATGTTTTTTGTTTTTGTTTTTTTAAGGATAAACCTAAAGGGAAATAAAGATAAGGAGAGAAAGAAGAGGAGCCATACCCCCTCAGAGAGTCTAACTATAAATTTGAGTCCCAAAAAAATCTTCATTTTTAAACAAGCAAAAGAATAAAAACTGAAGGTAGTTCAGTTGCATAATTTCTATGCTTTAAAAAAAGAATGGTGTTTTGATGTGAAATTTCAAAATTTTGTAGCCTTTAGTAATCACACTTAACTATATTCTATAACTGATTATACTTGAGGGTCTTCAGACTTATCAAACGTGAGCTGTGCATCAGTGGGATATGAACCCTGAAGTCTCACCGAAGACCTTGACACGTGCTGATGCTGGCTTCCGAAACTTTCTCATTTATGATATGTCCTTGGTAGTAACAGCTATCCTAAGGGAAACAAAAGGTATTTTGTAAAGGAAATTCTTCAGCATTCTTAGACTCCGTGACCAATTAGAATTTGAAATCCTGGAATGAGACCACTCTCCTCTAACTTTTATAAAATGCTAGAGACATTTTATAAAAAATTAAATACAAGCACTTTTGTGTGTTACAATTTGATGATAGTTAATGACCCCCAAATGCTTATATTATACAGTTTACATATTATATATATCCCTGTAAATATAGTGGACTGTATAGCATTCTACACTACGTATAGTGTATTCCATATATTATATTAGTGTTGCTGAAATAGTACAAAATAGTTGAGCATTATTTTTTCAAAATTGTATTTAGTTAGCCAAGTTTAAAATCTGACTCTCCAAAGATCTGGCCTTTATTTTTCTTCTTCAAAAAATGCCTTGCTCATTATACTTTGGGTTTTTGTTTTTTTTTTTTTTTCAATTAGGACTTACCACCTCTCCACCCTTTTATAAACCTATGGGTCATTCAGGTTTTTGTCCAAAGAGTCAAACTTTATTTCAATGAACCTGCACTACACGTCATGATTCTATCTGGAGCAAAGTACCAGGGATATTGCTTCATGTGACTGTTCCATGTCATGCCCTTCTATCTTGGAAGAGATGTGTCGTTGGCCTGCTGAACCAAAGAACATGTGAAGGTTTGCCGCAGAGAAGGGAGCCCTGAAGAGGATTCTTGGCTACAAAGTTATGGGCTCCATGGGAGCTAGGGGGAGCTCATTAGATAGATCAAGAATGGAGTTACTTAGGGCAACATCAGTGCTACAACTGATGGTGAAGAAGTAGCCTTGAGTGTGATAGATCACAACATAATTGGAGGTGTGATAGCAAAAAGCTAAAAACAACAGACATGCTTAGCTGTTCACATTATAAGGTCCGTGGGCAGAAAACAACTCTAAAGGAACTGTATGCTCCCCCTGCCTGCTTTCCTGAAAAGCTAGAACAGGTTCCTTCATCATTCTTAGACAAATATAATAATGTGAGAAGATTTATTAAGTAATTACTGCTGCTGGGGAAAACAGAACAGAACAAAACCAAATAAAATAGCAGCAAGGCTGTAAAACAGTTTCAGTCCTATTTGCCTGGCAAAGACTATATTTAGGTCTGCAGGGCACAAATCCATTACCAAGGGACCTATGAGGTTGTCATACCATGATTTGTGGGCTTGTGGTGACCTGTTTTCCTCTGGAATTATAGTATGTTTCCGAGTAGTCTGGTGCAAGGAGATTTCTGGAGAAAGAAAGGGGAAGAGCATGGTTTACACATGTCAACTGTGAAGTCCGAAAACAAAGAACTCTTCCCAGGCTGCTCAGACCAGTTTCAGCTCCTCAGCTTCTCCTATGTTCAGACAAGTGTGCACAGGAAAGCGCTGCTCATTTGGCCGGGCAGCAGGGGGAAGGGTGTTGGGGACATTCCAGAGGGCTGTGGAAAAAGCCCTTTTTCACGTGGGACCTGGTTGCTATTTCCAGGAGGAACTTGAGATGCAGAACTGAGGTCAAAAGTAATAGAAGTGAGCCCTTGCAACCAGTTCTGCACAAGGCATAGCACTACCCTTGTCCCAGTCCTTTCCAGGGGACAGTCCTGTAAGGCCCTCTTCAAGACACAGACAAACATACAAGTTATATTGGAACCACTCCATCGTTTGGTAACATAATCAAGTCTGTCTCCTAGCACCTCATTGTTTTTTTCTTTATAGAGTGGCAAAGGCCTAGTAAACTATTATTTTACCTAAAGTGTTCCTACTACTTGAAGAGAAAAAAAATAATTCACGGACTCCTGGAGTCTGTCTCTTAGGAGTGAAGAATGGTGGGTCAAGTTTTGGAAGCACTAAAACTGAGGGCAGCTTTGCCAGCCACTGTCCACATTTTAACTTCTCGTTGAGGAGGGAAATAGCAGACAGACACATACTCACTTGTTCTTTTTTAAATAAAGCACTGCAACCTCTCCGTTAACTGTCATTTTGTACTTTAGCTCAGTTTCAAATGCTTCCTGCAGAAATACACAAAGGCTTACTGTTAATCCAAAGGTGGCAGTTTCTGTCGATTTAAGCCTTAGAAAGGGCCGCTTGCTTTTCTCTAGCAGTGAGACCAACTGTTTGTCTAGACCTTATGCAACAGATTAATCTGCCAACTGAATAGACAACTTATCTCCCTTCTGTGTGTATATGTGCCTATGTGTGCACATATGTGTATGAGTGCACTTGTGTATATCATGTGTGTGTGCCTGTGTGCGTGTATATGTGTATCTACATGTATGTGTTTTTGTGTGTGCAAGCATGGGTGTGTGCTGGAAATTGATCCTAGGGTCTTACAAATGCTGGCTGAGGACTCTACCACTGAGCCACATTCTGGTCTCCCTTATCTGATATCTTTATGTATAGCCTTGATATGTTTGGCAAGGTTTTATTTGGGTCAGCAATAGTTTCTGGCTATAAATATTTATATTCATGAATACAGGTTAGGAGATGGAGTATGGGGGAGTGGGGTTAGGGATATATCAAAGACGTAGAAAGCACCTTTAACTAGGGCCAGCTCAGTGGGTGGCTCGGTGGGAAGGCACTTGCCTGAAAACTTGAGTGTCCATGTGGTTAAAGGTGAGATACAGTTCCTGCCTTTAAA